CCATCCATCCAGACAGACAGACAGACAGACAGACAGACAGACAGACACACATACATACATCCATACATGCATACATACATACATACAATTACATACATACATACATACATACAATGACATACATACAATGACATACATACATACAAAGACATTCATACATACACGCACATACATACACACACACACACACTATTTACATACACACACACACATATATATATATACACATACATACACACACGTACATACACATACATATACGTACATACATATACATACATACATACAGACAGACAGGCATACAGACAGACATACATACATGCATACATAGATACATACATACATACATACAGACAGACATACATACATACATAATCATACATACATATACATACATAAAAATATATATATACATACATACATGCACGTGTACATATGCATTTGCATATACATGTACAGTAACATATACACATACATATACATATACATACACCTACATACATACATACATACATACAAAAAACATACATACGACGTACATACTACGTACATACGTACAGCCGTACATGCATACATACATGCATGGCCTTAGCCAAGCATACCTCCACACCGGTACGAGTCATTGTTCAACTCGCAACAGTCTGGGAAATCTGGACTCAACCGCGAAAGAGGCCACCTTTCCAAGATCTTCTGGACCAGGTCACCGAAACTGACTTTGCCAGAGTCACCGTCCTCTACGTGAGCCGCAGCACAAAAGCACCAGAAGCTCCAGGGAACGAGCCACAACTGACGACGACAGCGTGATGCAGCTTTCGTTTCTTGGGAAAAAGAGCAAATGCCATCCATGACAAGAAGCAAACTGAGTGGCAAGAATCTGAATGCTGACCACAAGGTCATCTATCAGCATGCGGTTGAACGACTCTCCAAGATCTTTGCCAACACAGATCATTACATACATCAGAAGGCTCCAAAGCATCAAGACAAGCACACCAAGCAGTACAAGAAACAGCTAGTGGCACAATGTCAACGATCATGGACCTCAGGGCATCCACAGCCCTTGAGAACGACTTGCATCCTGCTTTGGCCATGAAACCCAGCCCAATAGCAGGAACAACACGTGAGGCAGCACCTTTAGAGGCCGTTGCTGAAGCTGACGCTGAAGCATGCTCAGAGTACGAGCATGAGGAAGATGCGGCCTACATGGTAGACTTCTTGTAAGACCTGGCTGGCGCTTCGACTCTGAGACACAAGCTCTAGCAGACCTGCCAAATGGCAACTCGAGCACCACTTTAGGAAAAAATACATACATGCATACATGCATACATACATACCATACCATAACATACCATACCATACCATACATACTACGTACATACATACTACGTACATACTACGTACATACTTACTCACTGACTTACTTGCTTATTTTTTTACTTACACGCGTACATAATGTTTTTTTTGAATGGCACTGCTTCGGAGACGGCACAGCTTTCTGTTTTGAACGCAGGGGTCAAAAACAGGTCCCAGCCATATATCAATTCCAGTGCACCCTAGAAAACGAGTTCAACAATATTTAGCACCAAATTCAGAGAAATTCCGATCTCCGGGGCACCTTAAGAACCATGTTTACACAGTTTACACTAGTCTGGGTTTTCCAGGGTGTATATATGTAGTTTGGGTCACTCTTTGGGTGAATGGAGGGGCGCCATTAAGGAAGGTAGATCAACCTTTTTTTGGATTCCTTTCGGGGTGGACCCAATGTGGACCCAATCCGACCAGTGGCTCAGAGGGATCACCTGCCCCTGCCCTGACGAACGGGGCATTGGAGGGTCGAACCCCACTCCAAGCGAGGACGAACAGGTGATACCTTTGGTTCACGGTTCACCGGTTCGCCTTTCTCTTCGAGGGGCAAACGGCTCCGGCGGCTCGGTGTCTACCGTCGCCATCGGTGGGTTTCCGGGTCCGAATGTGAGGGCGCCGCCTGACCCGAAGCAAGCCTCTTCACCGGCTGAGGGTCTTTCTTTAGGGAAGGATGTTTCATGGAACTCATGGAACAATTGGAGTGGTCTCAAGAAGTAGATGGCACAGATCCCAAGATGTCCATGTAGATGCGGGCCTCCGCAAAAGTCAACTAAACCATTTTGGGGTAACTGGGGCCATCTACTCATTTCATCCTATACCACTATTCGATGTTTGTGGTTTGTGGATCCCTGGATTTCGCGGGGTCCTTGATTCGCAGTGAGTAATCGCCCGGCGCGGGTCGACCCCGCTGACGCCCGCCAGGAGTCTCGGGCGCAGTGGCCAAAGCCGCCTCTCGACCCCCGCAGCCCATCGAGCAAGCGCATGCGGGGATGCTGCAAGGCGCGGGGAACGGTGATGGACCCCTAAGAGGTGGGTGGGTTGAAGAACCCTAGTTCGTTCGGATCTAGTTCGGTTTATGTCATGATGTAGCCCTATACTTTTCCGGGTCCTATACTGGGTCCTAGTTCAGGTAACTCGAACCTTTGTTGGTTTTACCCTAAGCTTCAAAGACCACTACCAATGATACAAGAATGGTTGATGTGGTGACTTTTGTCTGAACTCCTTCGTCAAAAGGGTTGATCGATAAAAGATGCGTGGGTCCTTAGACAAATTCTTCCTGGGTACCATGTGGGCTACTGGATTAATGTTGTTGGATTAATTTCACAGAATTATTCTTAAACATGGTAAAAGCCAATTAAATCAATTTTTGGTCACCAACTCCAGCGTATAGATCCTTCAAACACTCTCCTCTCGACACGACACCACAACAACACACACGACACCGGCAGAACCATGCGGCAGGTAGTCCTTCGTTCTTTTCACTGCAACGTAGGGTTATGTTTATTTTCTAAGGGGAAGATGCAGTAGTTTTGTTCCTGGTTCCTGGTTCCTGCAGCATCATGATTACATGGTGCATGGACCATTCATGGACCCCTTAGAGTGGGTGTTCTTCAAGGTGTCTCATGCTGGTCGGGCCACCTGTTTGGAACGGGTTGCTGATTGTTCCTCCATTTCGGATCGGGGCGGCATTTCCGTGCGTTCGGCAGGTGTTCAGGCGCCCAAACTCTGTGGTGTTGGGCGACATGGGAAGGACCCTATCAGTTTAAAGCTTAAACCATTGTTGACCTGTGCCTCCGTTTGTGCGGCATCCTCATGCATTCATCGTGAGGTTTCTCGGATCCACCCGTTTAAAGGAGAAAAAACTGGAAGCCTCCTGAGAATGGTGAAGCCGCTTTTGGTCCCCACATGTACACAGGTTTGCCGCGCCGTTCACATGTGGAGATTCAGTCGGGCGGCTGTTGGAAGGATCCGAGTTCCCTTTTGCCAACAAAAGACGTGTTGAAGACGGAACATCGCAGGCTTTTTGGGAGAGAGCGCGGGAGGCAACGCTTGCCTTCGAAACCCGACGTTTGCTGGCTTCGCACCTCTGCTTCGCACCTGCTTTTCGGTCCCCTTTGGTGTCTCAAAGACGCCAGGCAACATGAACGCGATGGGCGCCATGGGCGCGATGGGCATGACAGGAATGCCCATGGGTTTGGGGCCTCAGAATGCACGGAGCAATTCAGTGGGTTTGCATGGGTTGGTCAGGGTGATTCTTATGTCCGGGTGATTCTCAGATGTTCTCTATGCCAGACACTCCGGACCACCTTGGTCCACATGGGTGGTGAGTTTTGGGTGGTTCCCAAGGGGTGTTCAGAACCCGACAGGCTATCCCATAATACCCCAGTAGGTGCCCATTTGCGGTCACTTCACCGACTTAACCTTTGTTGGAATTCACTCTGTGCGGTACCCCGAACATGCCTTTCCAGCAACCGCGTGCACCGGGGCACCGTGGCCCCGCCCGTGGCGTTCGTCATGGAGTGCTCGTAGAGTGGGAGTCAAAAGGTGTTTGTGCCGGCAAACCAGCGCAATATGCCGCTTGATCTCGCTGAGGCATGGATGTGATCTCGTCCATGCAAATGCAAAACATGGGCATCTCGTCATGTGATTTCCGTGTTCTTTTCGAGCCCTTGTGCCAAAGATCGGTGGCTGCGGCCTTTTCATGGTTGGGCCGAGCTGCCTCGTTGAGCTTCCTTTTGTGGGGCCCAAAGCTCGCAAAGGACACATGACAATACAAGACTGACGATCTACTTGTGCATCCTTCTATGACTGCAGTTCGGGTGGTTATCGAGGGACAATGCAGAGTCAGGGGTGTCAAAACCAGCATTTCCGTGGTCAAAGATGTTCGGGCTGTGCGGTTTTCTTTTTCTATTTTAGCGGTGTTCGGGTGATCGGTATGTTCCTGAACCGGCGGGTGAATCCATGTTGAGGTCCCCGAAGCCGCACATCCGGTCAACCGGTGGCGAAGCATCTATTGGACCCTCCGGCCCTCCTGTGGAGGGTTTGGAACCTGCGTAGTGGGGGTGTACCCTCAAAACCTCAACCTTTGAGGGTCCTTGATTCTTAGGTTGGCCAACAGACAAATAGGCTGACCCAGCTCTTAAGGTTGGCGGCAATTGTTCTAATTTTCCTCTAAGAGGCGGTGATTGGGCACCTGAGTTTTTGAGCTCTTTTTGGACCGTAGAATCCTGACATCCTGAAGTCAGGGAGACAAAATCCGGCCTTGAGATTCATGGTTGGACGGCGGCAATGGCTTTGAGAGTTCCAACCTGCCGAGAAAGAGACCCAGCGCTTCCTGTCGGAATGTCCCAAGGACAGACCCACGAATTCTATCTAGAATCTAAATGGTCGTCCAGCCAGGACATCGGTTGGAACCAGGTACACTGCTGTTTGGACCCTCAAGCACTTCAGGACTCTTCAGGGGCCCTGTGTCCAACAGCCGTCACAGTCGTTGCCTCGTCCTGGGAGTCGTTCCGTCGTCCCACCATGTCGGGTGGCGGGAGTCGATACCATGCCATCTCCCCAAACCAAATACCATGCCATATCCCAGACACGACTAATTAATGGGACTGCCTGGCCGGACTGCCGCCCCATGGACCACCCTGCCACCACCACCCCTGGCCGTTTCTCGGCAGTCCTATGGCAGTCCCATTAGTCGTGTTTGGGTATAATGGTAGGTGGTGAACAGTACCACCCAACTATGGTATATCCCAAAACCAGGGAGGGAAAGACCATGGTGGACCTCTCGTTCAGTTTCGGTTTGAGTCCTCGGCACCGAGGGTGGTCGTTTCCGCCGGGGGGGACGTCTCTTTTTCAGGTGAAGCATAGGCGTTTGTGGTCTACAAAGGACACTGGTCATAACATGTTGCACCTCCAGGATGATATAGCTTGTGATGCTTGACAGCCACGAGTGAGAGCATGCATGAGCTTGGCGTCAGGCATGGGTATGATGGGTATGCCTTGCATGGGCTACGGCTACGACATGAGCGGCATGGGCATGGCCTGCCAACCCATGATGATGGGCATGCAACAGCAAACGAAGGATGCGCAAGAGGCTGGATTAAGTGGAGAGTGCTGTAGGGGCAACATGCCACAACAGACTCGCGCTTAGTAAGGAATGAGGAAACTATTTTGTGGAATCTATAGTCGCATAAAATCATTGTTCCCTACTAAGCACCAGTCAGATAAGATGTGAGTGTGTTGGTGTTTTTTTTTTTTTTTGTAATGTTGGTATGACAATAGGATAGGATTGCCATTGATTGAGACCATGCCACTGCGAAGTGCGTCAAACAACGTATCTTTGTTGTCCTCAAAGGTTGTTTGGCTTGTATACCTCTGAGGAACTGTCCCTGTGTGTCCCTAGGTGAACACGACTGGGCAGTGTCAAAATTTGTTAAAATCACTTCATGTGCTCCAGCTTGTCCACTGTGCCTACTGCTCCATCGCCAGTGCTTGGTTGTTAGGCCCAAGTGGCGCAAGCCCAAGCGGCGCAAGTGGCACAAGCACAACAAGCACAACAAGCGCAAGGGCAACTCGTGAACAAAGCCAATGTTGGGGGTGTCCCATTACCTGTAACAGTCTGTAAACAACGATCACTATTTTAGGGAAAGGCCTTTAAATACTAGCCATCATCATCCACTCGGCCGGGGAACAGAATGCACGCAAAGCTCATTTTGTGTGTTTTCATGTGTGCCATCTATTTTTGCTCCGTCTGAGACCGTCAGACGGGCTGCAAAAAGACGCACCGAGCCAGAGGTATGTTGCTATCGCGACGTTTGTGATTTGTGTATCGCCTTTATTTTGGGGGGTACTAGGTTCCATATACGGTTCCAAATGTAACTGAAGATCACAAAAGAACCTGTTCCAAGTGAAGATCCAAGCCAAGTCTTGGTTTGTTTTGTCTCAGTACTTCCAGCGGAAAATTCGCGGTTTGTTCGCTGCACCGTTTTGCTTTTGGCCAAGGCAAGCTGACGGCATTCGAACCGGTTTGCTTTTGCCACAGCCCAATGCCTACAAGGACTGCCATGTTTCGCCATATGTACCAGACAATATATATGCCCTAGGGCTCCAACCACCTCCTGAGAAGGTGGTTGGGGTGGGTGCCAGGGGGGTCTAATTAGCTTCTAAGGATATGGTTGGAGCCCTAGGGATGTACCGGAACAATTGCACCTCCAAACAAACTGAGGAACTGAAGTCGACCGCCTTTCGAAACTTCAGCTCTTCCAACCCTGTCCACTGTTGTCCATCGAACATTCAGGTGGGCCATGATAGTAAGCCACCCTTGCGGAATCGTTCCGGCCACCCATGGCGCCACCCGATCTCCGCGTTGTTCCGCGCCGTGTTCAGGCGGGTGGGATGCCACCTCCTCCTCCACCGCCGCCGCCAGCAGGCTCTCCTTCCCAGGAAGTCTGTGGATGTATTGCCCAACTCTTTGAAGTTTACATAGCACCCTAGGGATCCTCAAAACCAGGGAAGAGAGAGATCTCAGGGTCCTGGCCATGCCGTAGGGATCTTAGTCGTACCGAACCTCAGAAGGTACGACTGGACCCTCAAAACCTACATAAGAGATCATAAGAGTGTCGAACACATCACCGTACCTGAGAAGGTACTTGGATCCCTAGGGGCAGGGAAGTGGTCAGTGGATAACCATCCCTAGAGCTCCAGTCGCACCTTCGTTTCCAAGGTGACTGGAGGGTCCAGTCATACCGAACCTGAGGAGGTACGACTCAAGCCCTAGGGCATGCAGAACCTTCAGGAACTTCAGCACATTTAACATAATTTAAACAACTTCAGCACACCTTCAGCACATTTAACATCATTTAACAACTTCCTTCAACCTTTTGTTCTTCTTTTCTCCACGAAACCAAACAGTGCGGTGACTCCCCCTGCTTTCTTCACTTCGAACCACATGGTTCGCTGGCGCTGTTCGGCGCGCTGGGAAGACCCCACGTGGTCAATGCTTAGGGTCCAAGTGAGTCGTTTTTTGGGGTGTTTGCCTTCCCCCTCATTGAGTCTTTGACTGACTGGTGCTTAGCAGGGAATGAGGGAATGGATCCAAAGGAATCTCTATTGGGGGCTCATTCCCTCATTCCCTACTGAGCACCAGTCAGTTGAAGGTTTTAACTTCCACCAGATTTGGTGTTCATCATCGAATCATTTAACATGTGGTCGAATTGTTGTGGACCTGATGCAGTGATGAAGCACCCAGAATCCAACTGAAGATTCCCGGAGTGATCAACTGCTTGGTCATTGTTCTCTACCTCTCCGACTTGTTTGTTGTTTCTTGCTGAAGCCCGAGCCAGAGTCCCAGTATTGGGTCGGGCAAGTGTTGTTGGATGTTGAGTAAACCGGGATCAACACAGTTGAAACATGTTGAAACAAAGAGTTGGTCCATGTTGGTCCTAGTGTTCATCACCTTGGCTTGGGATGTGGCTGTGGGCTAAAGCTCGGGCACCATGGATGACCCCTTCAAATGAACAGATCCCCTTATAATCAAGGCATGTCAACCTCCCATGGTTTGGAGTCTTGACTCACAGCCTTATGTGAAAATGATATATCACCTGCGCCTGGCTCAGACCCATTTTTCAGGTCCACAAACCATCACCTCCGGTGGGTTTCGCACCGGGCTCTAACTGGGGCGGCCAACCGGTACTGGGGCGTCAGCCAGGTCACTTCGGATCCTGATTGGTGCTAGAGTCGGTGAGTGTGGGTGACGCGGGCTGATTCGGGTGAAGCGTTTCGCAGTGTGAGGAAAAGACCATTCCAAACCCTCCAGAGCCAAACTAGAACTGCTTTGTCGATTTGGTTCGGATCAATATGCATTGATCGTGTAATTACAAATGGAACCAGCTCCTTGGGGTCAGCCAATGTCGATGGAGTTGTCGACTCCTTTCTGCCGCGGAGCAAGCAAGCTGCGGTACTCTTTGAGCGATATGGGCTCTTTATGAAAACCATAGTGATGCGGACGTCGGATGCATCGTTGTTGACAGAAGGAACGAGGGTCAATTCGGACTTCTCACTAAAGAAAGGCACGACGTGATGGTGCAACAGAGCGTCCCAGATGCCTGTTACAGATGCATCTTCAAATCCCTACGGCTCCAACCACCTCCTGAGAAGGTGGTTGAGGTGGGTGCCACGGGGGTCTAACCACCTCCTGAGGAGATGGTTGGAGCCCTAGGGATTATCAGTCAACTAATTTTACCCTTGGGGTCCTCTTCCTTTCCTGATGACAATTGACAATTGCCCCCGCGTCCCGTGAAATCTCCATGATGTTTTGTCCCAGAGAAATCTCCGCACACACCCTGAAATCAGGGAAGTGGATTGCCTCCAACCTGAACTCTGAATACCAAGCAGCTGGTCTGACTGCTGCTTAGTAGTAGGAAATGAGAGAATGACCCCTCACTATAGATACCATAGGATCCATGCCCTCATTCTTTACTCAGCACCAAGCAGGTGGTTCTCACTCCACTTCCATCCACTTCCATGTAAGACTATGGCGAGGTGGTTCGGGGTATCCATGAATCACTCCATGGCCCGGGGGCCCCTGGTATGTAGATGTGTTTAGGTCACCATCAGGCTTTCGCCACACGGTCTCCAGGCACCATCAGGTCTCCAGGCACCATCACGAGACGCAATGTGTGAGAACGGAGTGTGCAAGTGAATGGGGTCCCAGACATGAAGGTTTCAACTCATTTCAACTCCATATGGATCGGAAACCAAAACCAAAAGGATCAACACATGGTTTGATATGACATATACTCTTCAAATACTACCCTCAACTCAGGTGCTCGATTGACAGTTATTGCACACCATGTATAGATCATGCATTTAGTTCGCAGTGCTTGATCAAATGACCTAAGCCCCCCCCATTGAACATCCTTAGCCAAACAGCAAAACCATGGTGCTTCGGGATTCAGGCTCTTAAATGAATGGTGGCCAGGAAGCCTAGGGGAAGCCGTGAGGAAGGTCCATGATTTCCATTAAACATCTTCCAACATTTGACCGCCAACAGGGCCTAACGCCCCTCAACTAACAAGACATAACAAGACCTGTTGGCAGGTGCTGCATAGTCGTTGTTTTTGTTTGAACCCGGTCTACCCCGGTCTTCGCTTCCTGTTTCGCGTCGATCGTCAGCGCTACGAAATGATGCCAAGACGACGTGTGCATCCACGTTTTGCCGCGTGTGTCATGCCCTCGAGTGTGTTTTGCAGCGTTGGAATGGCCAAAAAGTCGCCTTCGTGGCGTCCGTGTCGCTGGACCCTCGATGATTGATGTTTGCGCGCTCGGTCCGGGCCGGGAGAGGAGGCTGGTGGCTGGTGATGGCAGGAACTATGTAAAAAAGGTCTCCAAAAAGAGGTCTCCAAAGAGAGATAGGATGAGATAATGACTTCTATACTACGTCCTTTTCTAAAAGGTGGACGTGTGCACGAAACTGAGTGAGTGTTTGGAGGGTGTCTATGTAGGGACCCTCTTTCTTCCGTGAATTACAGGTCTATCTTACAGGTGCTCGGCTCGGACCCGAGGGGGAGGGGCTTGGTGAGGGGCTTCAGGGGGGTCGATGGCACAGGTTTCCCCAAGAGGGTGGTTTAGATGGACCCCCATCTGAAAGACATGTAGGGGTGCCATGGGGTGCCAGTGCCATCTACTCTCAAACCACTGTATTGGAGGGTCCAAAACAAGGGAATCGTTGACACTTTGACCTTGACCTCCCTGTAGTCCGTTAGTCCATTTTGTTCATGTTCCGTGGTCAACCAGGGTCTCCGGGTTTTCACTCACAGCCACAAGTTCTCCTGCAGCCACTAGTAGCAAGAAGCTACTAGTAACAAGTGCATCGCTACTAGTAACAAGTGCCTTACTAGTAGTAACAAGAAGCTATTAGAAACAAGAAGCTATCTTAGATTTGAAAGGCATTTGAACTCGACCCGCGACCCGCGACAGGTCTCCGACTGCCTGGGTGAATTTCATCGAGCACTCAAGGACGCTTCATTGAGTCGCCCCGGCCACGGAGGGCCGCGGAGGGGTGCTAAGCCCCCAGGCGACTGTGGTCTTTGTTTACGGACAAATCTACCAGGACCTCCCAACAGGTGGTTTTAGAAGGTTAACAGGTGGTTTCTGGGCACCTGTTGCCACCAGGAAACACCTTTTGGAGGGTCCCTTGTTTTCACTCCACACAACTCGGATGTTTTTGGTCGGTGTTTTTCTGCCAATCCTTGGACCCTTTGCAGGGGTTGGGCCTTCTCCGCTCTTGCGCGGAATTCCTGAACCAAAGCCTTTCCATTTGAGGTCCAGATTCTTAGGGTGCGTATGGATGTTTTTGGGGTTCCGCGAGGTGGGTGAATCCCTGAAGCTGGGTGAATCCCTGAAACCTGGAGAAGATGATTTTTTGGGTGTACACAAAGGCCACTGGACCTCCACTCGGCCTAAGCACATGTCAACATGTGTCAACGGTGTTGGATTTGCCACACCGACATCCACCGACCCTTGACTTGACTTGGAGAGTCCGTTGCCGGAGTCTGAGAGGAGAGGCTCCAACAAACATGTTTGAGGGAATGCTTAGAGTGTGATTTCGTGTGTGTGTCCCATGACCTGTAATAGAGTGGGTAAACAAGAACATCACATCCCTAGCGCTTCCAATGGCCGCCCTGTCTGGAGACCTATGTACGTAGGGTAGGGTAGTCTATTGGACACCCATTGGAGGATCCTGGTATGATCACTCCTGTTTGTTTGGAGAAGGGCCTGCAATCTAACCATCATCATCCACTGGTACAGGAATGGGATACACTCAAGGAATGCTAATGTAGGACCGGAGGTTGTTTTCACCAGTCTGTTGGGGGTTTCTAATTAACTAGGCGGATGAGTGAGAAAGGTGCGCAGAACTAAACTATCCCCCAAATCCCAATGTATGGAATATATTTACCTACATTGACCCTTATATAATTATATATAAAATAAAATAAAATAAAATCACTGCAATGTATTGCAATGTACTGTAGGCCAAAATTCCAGTCCCATGGATTGTTGGGGTATGTATGTTGCTTGCTTCCTCCCCTGCTCCCTGCGCCCTTTGTCCCACGACCTGCCTGTCTAACGAAGTAACTTGATCGGCCCTGAGCACGTCGAGAATGGAGCGCACGTCGGTGGATGTAGTCGGTGGGCTTGCAACAATCTATAACAACGTGTGACACCTCGTTTTATCATCTTCTATCCTTGACTTGGGCAACTGTGTCATGGAGCTGTTGCATCGACCTGTAGTCATTGTAGTCCATGTTAGTGTCCATGTTATGTTTTAAAGCTAGCTAGATCGCGCAACCCCACCAAGCCGCCGTTCAGATGCGTTTGGGCAGGACATCTATGATTACTGTGCAGATCTACCCGCCTCAGAGGAGATGCAGGGATTAGATCTTGTGCCCGGATGTGGGACCCTCAGAGGTCTCTGGGGGGGTCTCTCGAGCTGGGTCGACCCTACCAGCTTGGGTCGTACCAGCTTTGAGGAAGCTGAGTTTGCACAAAACACATGCTAACTATTCCTGGTATAGAGATGTGTAGAGCACCAATGCAGGGAAATGAAACTGACACGTACCTTTAAATGCTTGTGGGAGGCATCCAGCCTGGGAAAACGCCAATCAGCTTGAGGGTCTCTGGATGTTTTGGATGTTCATGGTGCCTTTGGGTTTCGAGTTTGGAGGCAGGGCAAGTGGATGTCTATCCACCGAGCATGATATGAAGCAAACCCATACACTCCATGGGACTGGAATATATGCCTACACATGACCCCCCGTGGCACCACCCCAACTGATCGGCATATATGGCAGTCCCATTAGTCGTGTCTGGGAAAAGGTTTTCCAAGTCCGACCATGAAGACCCAGACCGACGCCGGATTCGATGCAACGACGATGCGACTTCGATGCGACTTATGATTCCCAGACCTCAAGCGAGATAGATGGCTGAATCCTTTTCCTTTCGCGCATACTAAGTCCAGGAGGACTAGTATTGGAATGGCTGAATCATTGGAATCAAAAAAAGAGACAGACCGTATTGGGCTTTCTAGCATGTCGACCAAAGTGCTGGGCAAACCCCAGTCACTCCGTTGGTGACTCGCTTCCTCGCGCACGTTTTTTTTCCGCTGATTCTCAGGAGTTGGGCATCCTCGCGCGCGTGGTGGCCGCCTTCCAACTCGAGGCATCCAACCATCCGGTCACCATTTCTCCGCCGCTGCATCGCACTGCATGCTGTGGGGAGCGGAGCATCATGTGGCCTCAGAGCCCTTTTGTTTGACCATGCAGGGTGACCTCGGAGAAGACCGTCATCCAGCAGTCACCATGCGGGGTGCTATCCATGGAGGTAGTCGGGGTGCCCCTGTCGCATCCACTCACTGGGTGGGACTAAAAAACCACCCCGACATGTGACTACTGGAGTATGATGGAGTATGTGTCATCCTTGTTCCAGATCTTGGACTGAATGGGTTGCCCCTGGTGGCAGCGAGCTTGAAGCTCCCCAACCAGCCAAGCATGGCGAATCCGCGTGGCCATGCGAGCGACGGTCTTCCTTCTGAAAACCAGCGACGGTCCTCATCGGTGCGATCGAGACCAGGTCGGTCATGTCACGTCATGGCAGGCAGGTCACGTTGCTCGCGCTCCGCGGGTGTGCTCGAGGTCCCAGGTTTCCTTTCGACCTTCTCAGACTTGAATCGACCTCCAAGCAAGTGCAGCAGCTGTGTTTAGCTTCCAAACCAGGATCTTCCCAT